AAATACTAAGAACTGTAAGAAAAAGAATTGTAAGAAAATAATATGCCCACAATATGGATGAAATGGAAATATTCTTAGAAAAATATAATCTTCCTAAACAGAATAGGGAAGAATCAGAAAACAGGCCAATAATAACTGATGAAATTGAAGCAGCAATAAAAAAACTCCCAACAAACAAAAACTATAGTCTGGACAGTTTCACTGGGGAGTTTTATAAACTTTCAAAGAAGAATTGTGAAAAGTAGTATGGAGAGACCTCAAAAAATTAAAAATACATCTGCCTTATGAATCAGAAATTCCACTTCTGGGAATTTATCCAAAGAAACCCGAAACACTAATTTGAAAGAATAGATGTACCTCTCTGTTCATTGCAGCATTATCTACAATAGCCAAGCTTTGGATCCAACAGTAGATGAGCGGGTAAAACAGCTATGGTACATTTACTGTACACAATGGAACGCTACTTGGGAATATAAAGGAAGAAAATTTTACTCTTTGCGACAGCATTGATGGACCTGGAGAACATCATGCTAAGTGAAGTAAGCCAATCAGAGAAAGACAAGTATCATGTGGTTTCATTCATAATGTGAAATTTAATGAACAAACTGAACTACCAAGCAAAATAGAGACAGACAGCCGGCAGACAGCGCTGGTGGGGGTGGTGTTGGGGCTGGTGGTGGAGGGATTGAGGCAAAAAAGAAAAAAAAAAAAGAGGAAGAACTTCTGGAGAAGGACATCAGTGTGGTGATTGTAGGGGTGAGAGGGATGGGTGGAGATGAAGATAAAATGAAATAAAGAAGGAAAATAAAGAAAGCTTGCAGCAGAATGCCCAACATCTAAGACAAGAAAAGAAAGAAAGGCAGTTCTTTGCGGGGTCGCTGTAGGCGTTCTCTCTATGGCTCAGAACCTGGGCATTTGGGTGAAAAGCACTCGGGGAGGCTAGAAGGTCCTGGAACGGACTCTGTTCCCACACCTGGCACTGCAGTATACACTTCACGTCCACAACACGATGACTCTACAAAACTGGCACTGTCATTGTCCCCGGAAGGCTGACAACTTCCTCTAAGTTACCAGTGGGAGGAAAGCCCCTCCCGTAACCTGCAGGCTCCTTAGTGCAGACAGGCTGCCTCTGACCATGAAGCTCCAGCCACCTCTCATGTTTAGTTTACAAATCAATGCTCTTTTTTTTAAACCTAAAAATGTGCCTTACAACAATACCTATGATTTGTTGCTGATGGTCTGTAAAAAGCTTCTAGATTGCTCATGGGAGAGAATATTTGTATTTTAGGTCTTATTTTCAAAAGCCACCTGAAAGCCAGATTTCCTCAAGATGCTTTTTGCTTGTCAAACTCATTTGTCATGTAATGACACTTTCCTAACAGTGAGGACCCCGTGGACAAAGCAAAATCTCTGACACAGAGGTAAAGTCCTTCCATTTTCTCTCACCAGGAGATCATCATGTGTCACTTAACGACAGGCACATGTTCTGAGAAACGGGCATTTTTTGGTGCTTGCATCATTGTGGAAACGTCTCAGAGTGCACATACACAGCCAGAGGCGGTTTAGCCTATTTCTATAACTGAATGCGCTGTACTTTTATATAACTGGCTGTGCAGTATGTTTGCTTACCTGGGCATCACTACAAATATGTTGTGTTGTTGTGCATCACTGTGGAGAAAATGGCATATCTAAAAGCCTACATCCCATCACTATTTTCTTGGGAACAGAGTACAAGGCTAAGAGCTAAAAGGTAAGATACCACATCTCTGGACCTTCCTCAGACGCAGGCACCTGTGCTGTGAGCAGCTGCTGTCTGTGAGCTTGCTCTGCTGCTCTCTGTCCATGACCTCTCCCTGGCCACCGTGGAGATGCTGGCTCCGGGCTGGCCGGGCTGGTTCTGCCGGAACCCCAGTGCACACATGAGCAGTGCTCTGCCTGACTCAGCAGACTCCTCCAAATGTACTGCCATTTGTAAAACAAAAACAACCAAATGTCCCACTCCTCATGGCCAGTTTGGGCAGTCTGATGTGAATGATAAATGAGGTAGGATCCTCTGCTGAGAGATCTTGGTGAGGACCTTCCTCTTGGCTACAGGGAGCACATTTAAGTTTACTTGGGGGACAGACACTGCAGGACCCAAAGCTCCAAGACAGGACAGGGCAGGAGTTCACTAGCCTGGCTGGAGCAAGACACCAAGGAAGGTTTCATTATTGGAGGTGAGGCAAGGGAGATGTGAAAACTGAGGTTTCTCTTAGGGCCTCCAACCCGAAGAGTCCCCTGCTCTCCCTTAATTTCTCTGTCTGTAGAAGTTCTGACTCTCCCACTGACATCCTTTCTATATACCTGTGGGCCCAAGAGATGAAGGGAGGCCAGGAGTGTCCACACCTGGGCCGACAGGGTCAGTTTCTGGCTCTTACATTTTTACCCTCATTACTTGAGGATGTTATTATTTTTCCTTTTAGTAAAAAGCGTTTTCATTTTCTGCTGGACGCACAGCAGTATTATTTCCCAGCCTTCCTGCATCTAGGTGAGGTCATGTGACTCACTTTGGTTAATGAAATTTAAGCCTGGACCTTGGCTCACTTCCTGTCCATGCAACTGGCCACAAAGAACTCCAGCATGGTGGAGAACCATGAAGAAAGGACGCAGATCCCCCAGAGCCAGCCTCTAGGAGGGCTGCTCAGAGAGCTGGGAGACTCAGATGAGATGTGACATGAGTGAGAACCTTGGGAATCATATGTTTCAGCAGCTAATGAGCATTGTCTTGGCCAACATGGGCTCAGTGTCCTGAGACATTCATGTATGTTTCTCTGGGCCTCACTTTCTTCAATTGTAAAGTGAGGATGATAATATCACACATCACACAGGAATTGTTGGGAAAAGCTACATTTACATTACATGTGGAAGTGCTTTTATAACCTGCATGGTGTTACATAAATCTTAGTTTCTGTTATGCTCTCCAATTTAGTAAGTGATAAAATAACATTTACTGAGTTGCTCTTGCCAAAATTCTTAGATTCATTTTTTTGTCTTCTCTTTCTCTCACACCTCACTTCCAATTCAGCAGGAAGATCTCTTGGTTCTCCCTTCAAAAAATATCCCAAATCAGACTACTTCCCACCATCCTTACTGCCACCACTTAGTAAAGATGCCCATCACTTCTCACCTGAGTTTATGCCCTGCCTCACAATTGGACTTCCTGCTTTTATTCTTGTCCCTTAAATGTATTCTCCACACAACTGCCAGAAAGATTCTTCTAGAGACTAAGTCAGGTGATGTTTGTCCCCTGCTCTAGACTTCCCAATGGTTTCCACCTCATTCCAGGATAAAATCCAGAGTCTTACTATGACCCACATGGCTCTACCTGATCTGGGCACTCAGGCTCATTCCCTATTCCTCTCTCACAGCTGTCCTTGCTTGCTTTGGTTAGCATGCCATTCCACCAGGTATTTTCACGCTCACTCCATCATTTCATGCATGCTTAGGCTCAAAGGGCATTTCTGAGATTGTCCTGCAGGTATTAGAGCAACTCCTCTCTCAGTTCAAGAGGCCCTTATGCTGCCCTACCTCCCCCCTCCATGGACCCTACCAACACCTGGCATCGCACTGAACAGTATTTTTTTTTATTGGTTTGTCTCCTCAACTGAATGGAAGTTCTATGGGCACGAGGGCGATGCGTTGCTTACCCTTGTATCTCCAACACCCAGAAGAGGGCCTGACAGAGTAGACCCTCAGATTCTCAGTAGATATATTTACAGAAGACATAACGTCTATCACATCTTTCTATTCCCACGTCAATGCCTCCTTCTTGAGCTTCAGACCTGATTAACTCACTTTAAATGACCAATATTTTGAGGCTAGTTTTCACTTATAACTTCATAGTATCCATCTTCATAAATACTGGTATGTGATTGATTTTTTTTAAAAGGCTTCATTTTTAGAGTGGATCACAGCAAAACTGAGCAGAAAGTACAGAGATTCCCTGTATCTCCTGCCCCATCACACATACAGTCTCCACCACTGTTACCAACCTGCACCTCAGTGTCTATTCATATAGTCAATGAACCTGCATTGGTATATCATTATCACGCAAAGTCTATAGTTTACATTGGCGTTTACTCTTGATGTTGGACCTTCAATGGATTTAGACAAATGTCTAATGACATGTATTCACTTATGGTATCATACAGAGTATTTTCACTGCCTAAAACTCCTCTGTGCTGCCCCTATTCATTCCTGACTCCTCCCAAGCCCCTGGCAACCACTGACCTTTTTATTGTCCCCATGGTTGTGCCCTTTCCAGATGTCATACAGCTGACCCTTGAACAACATGGGTCTGAACTGTGCAGACCCACTCATTATATCTAAGTAGACCATGCAGTGCAAACTCATGTTGTTCAAGGTTCAGCTGTATTTTTGGCCTTCAGTTGAGAATCGTGTATGTGGAGGGCTGACCGAAGTTATACTTGATTTTCAATTGCACAGCACATCGGAGCCTCTAATCCCCACCATGTTCAAAGATGAAATTATACGATATGTAGTTGAAATTATACAGTATGTAGTCTTTTCAGATTGGCTTCCTTAACACAGTAATATGAATTTAGGACTCCTTCATGTCTTTCTATGGCTTGGTAGTTCATTTCTTTTATAACTGAATTATATTTCATTGTTTGGATGTACCACAGTTTATCCATTTACTATGTAATTACTTTTTTAACATGGATTTAAACTTTATTAGGAGAGAGACCTATATATTATAACAAATTTTCTTTACTCCTCCCCCAACCTCATCTAACTGCCAAGTATAAGCCCTTTAGGGAGAAGAGTCTCAATGAGTCCTAGTCAATTTGTGATAATCCACAATGTGCCTCCATATACTGAACACATATTTCTTGTTGGTATTCACATTGTGTATTGGTTTTGATAGCTCCCAGATGGTATGAGTATCCCACCTGAGCCTTAAAACCTGAACAAAGTAAAAATACTACTGCTATACTTACCTTAGGTTTGCTCTTTATCCACTCTATATCTATTTCTGTACCAAATTCCTTTTTACGATGAGTAACAAAAAGGGTTTTTCCTCCTTCTATTTTGGGCTCCTCAGGTGGTGGTGCGTGGCTCAATAAATGAAACGTGTGAGTAACCTCATCTGAATGCTTGCTGGGGAATATGTCTTTGGTAGAAAAGAGAAAGAAAACATAGATCTATTTCTCAAGAGAAGTTGGGGGTTTGGGCCATGGGCCATATTCTCCCAAATAAGAAAGGCTACCAAGAAAGAGCAAGAAGAGAGAGCTGGGTTGAATTTTGAACTTTCATTTATTTATTTATTCATTTAACACCTGTCTACCAAAGGCCTGCAATATGCCAACCCAGTGCTAGATGCCAGATACCATCTGAAGCCCATCCAGCCCAGACTGGGGAAGTGAGGGGTGACACATCAGCCCCAGACAATAACAAGCATGGCTGCTAACTCAATTAATTGAAAAATAGGCTAAAGTGAGGAGTCATTACAAAAGAAAACATAACTTAAACATATTATTTGAACTTATAACATAAACATATGTTAACACTCTAATGTAGGGCAAAGTCTTTCCTTGGTGTGTGGGTCTCATGATGGATTCCGTGACCATTTTTTGCTCAAACCACACTCATAAGTGATTACATTTAATTTTCAATTTTGGAAAATTCTAAATAGTCTGAGCATAGAATTATAGAGTTTAAAAAACATTTCTATGTATTATCCAATCTTTTATATATGGTGCATGTCTAGTTCCAAGCACTTTTTTTTTTTAAAGCTATTTTTTTACTGGGCCCTCTGGAAGCATTCAAAGCCCAATTTAAATTCTTAAAGCATTAGTTTTCTTAGCCACAAGAAGTTTCTTTTTATTTTCATTTTGTCTATTTTTTTCCCTCCCAACTGAAAAAATGGAACTAAACTAGTAAGGACAGCTGAACAGCCCCTGTTCCAAGTGACAACTGGTGAGCTCCGCTTTGGCCAGAGCGGTGGGGAGGAACTTCTACCCCCGTCAGCTGGGAAACTCTTCACTGGTTTCCCTCCACAACTAGGTTAGGGGGTGGTTAATTAAGAGAGCTTAGTTATCCCTTGTCATCAACACAATGTTGGAGGAGGTCATTGAGAGGCTGTTACTGCTGATGGACCTGGGAGCTGCACCTGGACCACCAGAGGCTCCTCACCCCCGTCTCCTGTCCTTAGAATGAGATCTCTGCCCACCGTTCTCACAGGTGGAGCTGCATCTCAAGGATCCAGCCTTGAGAGAATAATGTGTTGTGAGACCATCTGGGCTGAATACGTGACCGACCCAGGTAAGGCCTTTTTTTACAATTCAATCTTTGAATATGGAGATCAGATTGTCTCACTGCCGACTCATACAAGACTTGCATGTTAAGCCTGCCCTGCGTGGAGCTAACCCATTGTGTAAGTCTTGGTGGCAGACAGGGTCCTTCCACTATAGAGACTGAAGGCACCAATTCCTCCTTCTCTCTGCCCCAGATTTCCCATGCTGGGGTTCGGTAACTCCACTGAGAACATGAAACCTAGACTTAGAAGGCCCCCACTTTTCTTCTCTAGACACATTGAGCATGCCAAAAGGATGAGCCTTGGATGTGGCCTGAGAGCTTTTGGACATGAGTGTGGCTCATGTTCACACAATGAGTGGGTGATCTTAGGCAAGTCCCTTAGCCTCTCTGAGCTTTACCTTCTTCACGATACTTCACATGACTATGAAAAGTAATTTGAACAGGTAACATATGTGACAGTGCTAGCCCATAGCAGTTATTTTGTACACGTTAGGTCAGGGGCTAAACAGGTATTGGGGAATGGGAGCACTGCCTGGAGAGAGAATGTGAGGCTGTGTCCTGGCTCAGTGAGAAAAAGACCACGCTTGATTCCTTTGTTTGCCATTGTTATCATTGCCATTTCTATATTAGTTGGATCTGGTAATTTGAAAGATATTCCATATGGTGGTTTTGAGTTTCTGAATTAGATAGCCTTGGAGCTTAAGCTCTTGGCTCAAGCTTTCCATGATTAGACTACAAAAACTGGCAAGCACTGTGATTGTTAAATCTTAAATGCTGGACCACAAATGCCTTCAGTATATGGTAAAAGGGCTATTTCTTTCCCAAAGTTTATGTTAATAATGACTTATTGGACCTTCCCAAATCTAGGTTATATCCATTTCTGTGTGGTCTCATAGCACCCCCTTCCCACTATATCACTTAACCATGCTACATGTGAATTTCCTGCTTGCTTGTCTATCTTCACCACCCCCGCCAACCCGCACCCCACCACCAAAGCGTAATCCCGTTGAGATCCCAGACTGTGTCCATCTTTCTCCATATGTTATCCCTGGCAGCTAGGACCTCAATAGACCAGTAGGTGCTCAAATGAGGGAATGAGCAACTTCTGCCTCCTTTGCGGTTGTGGCACAAGGTGAGAGGCAGTGAAATGCACATAGGAAAGCCAGTCACGAATGGAAAATGGTAGAGAATTCCTTACATCCACGTTTCTCCATAATCCAGTGAATTACTTCCTTGTACTTTTCAATGTTGGTCTTCATCCTGAAAGGAATGTGAATTATCTTTAAAAAAATGGAGACTAAATTCATGTCTATATGTCACACTACACAGTGAGACAGTGCCAGGACCTCCCAAGTCCTTTTCCTCGGTGGGATGTGGGGCTGACGGCTCCTTCGGACCCAGCTATTCTTCCAATCAGAGCCAAGGAATAAAGGGACCACACATGGCATGGGCTTGGTGCTTCTTTCCTTGCCTCTATTTGGCCTTCAACCTGGGCACCTGGGCTGACCCTCAAACTTTAAAAAATAAATTTAATGAGGATCAGTTTTGGGGCAGGGACAGAGCAGAAATGCCAGCCTGACTCTAAGTTAAGCATATAGAAATCAAGCTCAATCAGCTTGATTTTTCTATATTTTGTATGTATGCCGGTGAAGTTTACAGTTGGAAACAGCGTGGGAAAACAGCATTGTTTGTGCCATTGGTAACTCTTCCCATTTAGTAGTAAGATTTTCAGTAATCCCTTCAGAATGACTCGCTGGGAAAGTCACACCAAAGCACAGCTTTTCAAAATACTCAAGCCCTAAGGCCCTCTCCTGTCAATACACAAGCCATCCTGGCAGGTCAATAGCCTGGGCTATTGTCCTTCCAAGTAAATGGACCTCCGGGGTAGCTGTGTTTCCTTGTTCTCAGATCAGAATATTTTTGAAAGGGAATGTGTCAGGAGTGAGTGTCCCAGTTTAATTAGATCTGGAAGAAGGCCTTTGACATGACAGATTTTAAATTTTTAGTTTAGATTCCTTAAAGATTGCATGGTAATTCAACTCAGGAAGCAAATTGCTGGGAAGGGCTGGACCAGTTCACTTGGCAGATAGCTAAGGTTTACCACTTGTGCTTTAAAAGCAATAACGGAACTTGAGAACGAGCTCTTCATGGCCATTTATACCAAATGTTTTATTTGCTAGCACTTTGAATGGAAGCAGTTACCTAGCCTACCATTACCTATGAGAGGTTGAGGACCGAGGAGTGGGTGGGGTGAGTCCTATTTCACAGGCCACGAGAGGATGCCAAATACAAGTTAGTGTATGCAAGAGTTAAAACTCCTGTGAGGGGTCCAGATAGAGGCACCCAATGCCCTTCTTTGTTCACCTTTGCAAGCTAGTGGAATCTTACCAGATAGCTCCTCAATGGCAGAGGCTCTTGGGTACACATTACTGTAAAGATCAACACACAGATCAGCACAGAATAGGTGCTCAGGAAATATTTGTTGAGTGCAATCAGATTAGAATGAGCACCGGCAATAAGCTTAAGTGGGGAGAAATGGGGGTAAAATGTCATATATGAGACAGAATAACTTTTGGGATGTTTTCTGGCATTTGTTTGTGCAGTTGTATAAGGATCTGAAAACTTGGATGTTTGTTTTCCCCTTTCCTAGAGAAACCTCAGAGGTCTCTGGCCCTAAGACATTACTGAATCCAAAGCTGAAGTTGCTGGAAATCCCTCTTCCTGATTTTTTGTAAAAAAAAAAAAAAGAAAAAAAAATTTCCTCCGACTCATGAAGGAGATCATACAGGACACCCCAACCCTCACAGCCTGTTCCTTGGTGCCACTGCCAGAGAGTTTGTGACAGACTCACGGGAGGCCCAAAGACAACGTGCTCACCAAGGTTTGTGATAGCCGGATGCGTGGAAGTGCAGCACGGGGTGGATGCACAGTGGGGATCTGGAACATTTTGTGCCTGGGGTCATGCCAACTAGAAAGGCTTGGTGCCAGCCACATCTTGGTCATTCTCCACTCTAAAGAGAGGGGCTGGCCATTGCTTATCGATTTCCTTGCCTTTGTGCCTGCCGTGTGCCTGTTTTTTGATGAGGGGCCTTCTGGCACTGGCCTTGCTCTTTTCTCTGGAGGGCCCAATTTACGTTTCCCTGCTGCTACCTTTAGCCTTCCGAACCCACTGACCAATACCTCGATCTACAGCCACTTACAGACTTCTCAGTTTCTTTCTGGTTTCACTCTCCAGTTGGCCTGTCAGGGGGATCTCAACATCCTCTTGCGATTCATTGCGAGCAGCCTTTTCTTTGATCATGGTCCGAAATACTGTGTTGTAGGAGCTCTTAAAAAGCTATAAAAGGATCAGAGAATAAGATACCTGGCTAGCAAGATTTGTTTTAAAGAATATTTCCATTATTATCATACCCTCTCCTCACTTCCCAACTTCCTCAAGATTTTGTTTTTTAGCAGCAGCACACCAAAAACTCTTTTGAGAGAAGAAAATTATGCTCATTTAAAAAAATATTGATTTTTATAGAAAGAAAGGGAGAGATAGGTAGGTAGGTAGGTAGAGAAACATCTGATTAGCAAAAACTGCAACTTTGGAGTATTGGGATGATGCTCTAACCAACTGACCTACCTGGCCAGGGGCAAAATTATGCTCTTTTGCCAAATGTGGAGATGGCTTTAGAAAGTAAAAATTCTTTCATCCTTTCATCCTTTAAGGGCTTAACAGGCTTTCTGAGTTCTAGGAATGACCAACTTTCTAGCGGTTGCTTATTTATTCAATGTGAAGAATGACTGTCTTCAGAAAGCAGTGTGGCACCTGGCATGTTACTATCATGGACAATTCTGGGTTTAAAGATTCTTCCAAAGTAATGACATTGCAAGCTGCCTTTTTATTTTGTAAACTTGATTATTCTATCCCAAGTCCATGATGTTAACTAGGACTGACCCATAGATGGGTTTTCACAAGAGTTTCTTTTTTTGGATCCCTTTTGCTAGGAGATGGAAGTTGGCTTGCTGTTGAAGAAACCCATGGATCTGCCATGTTACCCTGCACACATAGAAACTGAGGTGGTCATTATTGTTGTTCAACATCTGATAATGTATAGTATGCCATTAACTGATTGGTTTTTAATAATAAGCAGAAGGCCAATGGACTTAGAGTTGCATGTGATCTGGGACAGATTTAAGATAAAACTTGTATTTGGCCAGTTTTTATAAGCTGTGAGGAAAGCTGGGGTGCCTCAGATATAGCTTGGCTGATTCCCAGCCTTTGCCCATTGCTGCTATTAAATTAATTAAACAAGGTGGCCATTAGCCTGGGGTAGCTCTAAGGCTGTGGTGGCCTACATAAACCACCAAAATCTAAGCCTGTCAGAGCCTTAAGGTTACAAAATCAAAACCTAAGGACAACCAACCACAAGCAGCCAGCTAGCTTTAAGTTATGGACAATCAATAATTTCCTTGCCTGATTCTACTTTTCTCTATAAAAGTCTCTCCGTAGCTCCGGTCAATGAAGCATTTCAACCACTTCTATCTGGTTTGATGATGACAATTCCAATTGATGTATGCTCAAATAAACTCTTAACATGTTTAAATATACCTTAGTTTACCTTTTAACTCTGGAATCGGTGTTTCAGGCCAGGTTGAGGTTAAGGCCTGCAGTGTCTTGCCTCTAAATTCCTCATTATTGACAATCCCACTCTTGGGTAGAGCAATTTCTTATTAGGCCGGTGATCTCTCAGCATCTTCTTTGCATTTTATGCTTTGTTCATCAGAAAATACAGTGCTCACTGTATCCACTAGACCAGTGTTTTCCAAACTTTTGACATATATGTACCCCTTCTATAATTTTCGTAATGCTGAGTACCCCTTGTACTCATGAGAATATAGAATTAGGCGAAGCTAAGCACGGTACAGTGCATATCCCCACCAAACTCTTCCTGTACCCCTGGGGGTATGCGTATCACACTTTGGGAAACACTGCTAGACAACAGACCCACTGGGTGGGCCTTGTTAAAGTTCTCACCCCACTTAGGCTGTGCCAGCCCATTCGATTTAGCCAGCACGTGACACCTTGTGACGTCGGTCCCATTTGTTTCTCCAGCCTAGTAGAACTATCCTCATCATCAGGGTAGGCGTATTGGGCACTCCAGTGATGAGTTCTTTCATGCCCAGAGATGAATCCTAGGTGAATCTCTGGTTCTTGCAGCTAAAAGAGTTTGCTTAGCAGGGTTTGTGATTCATGGGCATGCCATAGAAATAAAACAAGCAAAGTGAATCAAGAATAGCAAAGTAATTGAACTGTCAAACTAACCAAAATATTGATTGATAACCCCAATCCAAATGGGAGGACTTCAACTCCTTCTCCCTAGTTTGTACCCAGATGGCTTCTGGTATTCCCCCATAGGGGCTTCACAAGTCTTTCAGCTGTAGGTCTCCTGTGACATTCATTCCATTCTTCCTGTCTTACTCTGGCCCCACCTGTCCGCATCTGCTGCTGACGACATGGTTTGGAGATGTACCGCTTCACCTAGCTATATAGCCGCCTATCATGAGAGTGCCAGTATCTGGGACACTGGTGTTGCCTCAGCATCCTCATAAGCTTCCGATCCTTGGAGACAGAGTGGTATAGACAGCAGGGGGAATGTATCTCCCAACTCTATGCCATACTTTGTCACCGGGAAAAAGCCCCTGAGATGACGAGACGAGGTGCTTGTGATTGGAGCTCGCCTGTACAGCCCCCGCCACCCCCCGTCACACGGAACCCTCCCAAAGTGCCATGCTCACGCAGGAGCTCGCACAGTGACACGGGAGACATCCCCTCTGCCTGTGACCGCAGCTCTGCCCAGACAGCCAAACCTCAATGCGCAGGCATGCTGAAGGTTTCTAAATGATTGCAGTTTCTAAACCAAACAATTCCTTTAGATTTTCACTCTTGCTGGAAAATGTTTCTAAAATGCCAGTGTTACTTTCCTGTCTTAGTAAATGCTATGCAGTGAATCTAAGCTCTTGAGAAATCTCTTTTCTCCCTTGGATGTGATATTTCGGTACTTGAAAAGCAATTCTCATTAATAATCAGAGTGGGGTAAAAGTAGATTTACAGTTGTGCGTATGCAAAACCCAGAGTTTATTCTTGTATGACTATTAATTATTGTATTATTTTTCATATGAACAACTATAAACCTACTTTTGTTTTACCCTGTAATATTTACAGAAGCAAGGATGAAATTTAAGGCTAACTATGAATTGAGACCAGAAAATTTCCCAATTAAAACAAACAATTTGGTTGTTTTTCTTTTTTTGCCTTTTCTTTTGTAAGTTTAGAAAAACACATCTGCTTAATATTGAGTTCCAGGGATACACGATTTTAGTTAGTACCTACAATCCCAAGAAGTTTCTCAGCCATAGTGGAGAGGATGCATCATAGCGCTTCTGCCTGAGTCAACCTGTGTGGTGAGTCTTGGAGGTTTGACACAGGGAATTAGAGCCCCTAGGCTGTGCCGGCAGCGAAGAAATGGGTGCAATAAAGACAATACCACATACCTGCTCACACTGTCACGATGTCCATCTCATCTTGGTTACTGGGTACAGCTGGGGAAAGGACTCTTGCTGACCCTCCGGGGCTGGCTCTGTGCCCCTCCGAGGACTGCAGACCCCCAGGTGGTTCACTACCGTTTGCTGCGGTGTTTGCTTGCACAGGGTGCCGTTTGAGGTTTAGCTTGCTAGGCTGCCCCATTCCTACCTTTTGGTTAGAAGCACCAGGCTTTCCTTAGGATCTGTCTCGTTGCCCTGCACACCTTGGGGGTTTTTCTATCCATGCTTGTTCAGTTGTCGGTTGCTGTCTTTGCTGGCACCCAGCCAGGGACACGTGAAGCAAAAAGAAAACTCAGGAAACTGGCTGCCGTGTCACTCATGACGTCCCCAGGTCCCTAGTCAGTTGGCCTTCTCTCTGCCTTCGGAAGTTTCTTATGCTTGTTTTATATGCAATGTCTATAATGTTTTATGCTGTACTTAGTGGGAAAAGTACATCTACGTCATCTTTCCAGAATCTAACTTAATTTTTACAAAGGGTTTCTACACAGAATGATTTGCCTCGAGATCTGGATGACTTAGGCTTTGTTTGGGCTTTCCTGATTTCTAAAGCAATCTTTTTTTTTTTTTTTTTTTTTTTAATCCTTACCCAAATATATATTTTTATTGATTTTAGAGAGTGAAGAAGGTGGAGGTGGGGGGGCGGAGGGAGGAGAGATAGATAGATAGAGATAGAGAGAGAGAGAGAGAGAGAGAGAGAGAGAGAGAGAGAGAGAGAGAGAGATGGAGAGAGTGGGAGATGAAAGAGAAACATCAATCTGTTGCCTTTGTTACCCACTATGGACTGAACCTGAAACCTCGCTAAGTGCTCTGACTGGGGATGAAACCCACAGCCTTTAGGTGCATAGGACAGTGCTCCAATAAACTGAGCCACCTGGCTACACTCAAAAGCAATCTTGAGAATATTTGTTTATATCACCGGCAGGGCACTCTGAAACTCGGGCCCTGGAGCAACACATTTGGCTTTCTATGACCCTCTTTGATTGAACGCGTGTCATTGAAATGTAGGTCTGTCATAAGGAAGGCCCATTTGGGCTGTGCTAACAACAGAGTGAAGCGAAGAATACCAGGGCTCCTGAGGCAGAGCCAGCTGACCTGGGGGTTCCCGTCCCAGCATTGGAAGCAAGGTGGTCTCAAGTTTTTCTCCGACTTACAGTGCCCTCGAGGTCCATGTCACTCAGTACGTCAAGGTTCTCATTTAATATGGTGTCATACACGCTAGCCGGAGGGACCGACGTCGTGGCTCCTAATTGAAAGGCAAAGCAAAGGAAAGACATTTGGAAGAGGAACGAAAACGAAAACCAAAATAAAATAGGTTTTCAGCATTTACTATTGTCCCTTTAAATAAAAATGCACACATCATCAATAAGGCTTTAAGTGAATTCATCAAATTTCCTAATATTCAACTTGAAGATATTAATAAAATAGGAACAAAAGGGTAAGCTTCAGTGGCTGACTTAGGAAGGTGAGTGTGCGCTCCCGGTGTCTGGTGAAGGTTTACCTGACCAAAAGACATTGGAGTGAGTCCTGCATGAAGCAGGCAGGTCACCCGGGAAGAGCAATACTGCCAGGAGGCCAGCAGGGGCAACAGCCCTGAGGTGAGAGTGAGTGGGAGCGTGGTTGACCCATTTCACAAACCACAAGAGGAACAATATGACTGGGAGGAGTGAGCGTGAAGGAGGGAGGCTGGAGGGGAGAGAGAGGGCAGGGCCAGTTCACCTAGGACCTTGTAGGCTGAGGGAAGCACTTTAGATTTCATTCTGAGAGAGATTTTTTTTTGAGTGTGATTTTCTCTTGGAAATCCTGAAAAATATTCCTACCTCCTGCCAGTTTTGTCAAAATTTGCCAGTTTCTGGAATTGCATATGGTTCGTAATTACAAATTGAAAACAGGTCTATTGGAGATAATGAGTGCCTTTGTTCTCAAGGGCAGCCACAGCCTGGTGACTCTCTGGCCAGGAAAGGGCCTTCAAGCCTCCAGTGTCGAAGGGGTGCAAACTGAATCAAGGAATTGATAATTACAGCTTGGGTCTTGCTTTCAAGCTCCTGGGAAGGTACATCCGGAGGCAGAACTGGCAGGAAGGGCTCTCTTATAATTGGGTCCCCGGGGAGATTGCTGGGTCTGTTGCCTGGGCTTCAGAGTGGCACCTCTCTCACCCAGAGAAGCCTGAGCACCCTCCAGGCTGGCACAGGGCTGACTCATGTTGTCTGATTTTGTGTCCCCTGTTGGGCCCTTGGGAATGGAGAAGGGACGTCTTTTGTGATCTCCACACATGTTATTTTTGTACTTCTTCCCAATTTTGGTTCAGAATAAAAGCTCTGACTCTGTCGGGCTCCTGGTGGATGGAGAATTCCACCCAGTTGGGACTGCCTGTACACACACCAGACTCAGGGCCCTTTCTGCCTACAGACCTCCTGCCCAGCTTTGGTTTATTCCTGGCAGAAACCTGCCCATCTGCGGTGGATTCAGGCTAGAGAGCTTCCTCCTCCTCCCCACCCCCCAACTCTGGCAGTTCTTTTCTGGAGTTTCCACAGGCACACATCATCCCACTGTGGAACTGACAACTGGCAAGAGCTAGGGCCTCTTTCAGCTCGGTCCCCAACTGGACACCACCAAGAGAAGTTTTAAAAAAGCCATCCAGGAAAACCCAGCAAGAACTCAAGGGAATGCAAGTCAGGGAGCTCCTTTGAGTTGTCACTGGAGAGGAGTCGTGAGGAGCAGCCGGGACGGAGTGGTAGTGCCCCCAGGAAAGACTCTGAGCATTGCTGCCCTAGACTGAGAACAAGAGTCTGGCGCTGGCCCTGAGAGTGTAGCCAGTCCCCATTGTTTGCGATTGCACTACTTGAACAGGCTTTATGGAATAATACATAGTTAACTTGAAGGGGATAGGAGGTGTTTATTAGGGGAAGAAGGTGACTTGGCAGTCTTGAATATGGAATCACAAGTGTTTGATTGGACATAATTAACCTTACTAACATCAATGACTCTATCTACTTGTCAAGACAAGCACAGTAAATACACAGTAACAGGCATTTCTGGGCCTGAATGAGAAGGAAAAGCTTATTCCTCATTAACTTTTCCTTTGAGGATTTCCATCAACCTCTGTCTTTGTTGGAGTGAGATCATTATTTTCTCCTGAAATTGCTCTCTGGGAGGCTTGGTGAGGTGGGGGAGGAGAGTGCCAGTTTGTCACACAGCACATGGCCACTCCCACATGCCATGCAGCTTTCCCTCTATTCCCCTCACCTGTGTGATGGGGACAAGAAGCCTCCTCTTCAGGGTGGCTCACAGGAGCAGTGCCAATGTAGGTAGGTGCCTGGCATACAGGATTCCCTAAAGTGGAGTGTGTCTTCCCCAGGTCTGATTAGGAACAAATCTTGGGGTAGCTGGCAGCGCATGGCCATGAGACATTAACACAGCCCACTAAGCCCGTTAAGTGTACCGGGCTGGCCCCAGCTGAGTCCTCTGAGGGGCCCAGGTTGAGTGGTTTCCTGGGTACCTTTGTGGCCTCTATGGATATAACCAGACACCTGGAGAGGAAATGCAACCCACAAATGGGTCAATAATACTCCAGACCCAACTACAGAGGCAGGAAGATGGAGGCAGTGAGGGACAGAGTGTGAGTGAGGGAGCAAAATAGGAGTGTGTGGACACATGAGGGGTGTGTGTGTGTGTGTGTGTGTGTGTGTGTGTACAAGAGTGAGGGACAGTTAGATCCTGCAGGACCTTTGGGGGCAGGAAGACTGGGCTTGTCTAGCCAGGCAACCTCTGCACCATTGCAAACAGTCCCAGGGTGGCCAGCTCCTCTGCAGAGGCTACACCTTCTTGAAGGGGAGAGCTAATGTGATTGGGAGCCCAGTCTCAGCTCCACCCAGAATGCCCTCAAACACTACCTAGAACTCTACAGCCATCCCTGCCAGGCACTTTCCGCCTTGGCTGTGATCCCACAGTCACTGAGACTCCAGCCACCCCAGCCACAGGCTCTTATGAGTGCTGAAGCACTCTACCCTCTGGCTGGCCCAATACTTTAGCCCAGGGAGTCACAACCACGCGAACAGCAGCCGTGCGAGCAGCCCACTTCCATCTGAAGAACAGCAGCCTCATGCAGCCAGCCCCCATCAAAGGAGCAGCAACCCCATGCAGCTTGTCCCTGCCCAGTTGCTCACACTCTGCAGTTGCTCACAGACCACCCCTGTCTGAGGAGCAGCATGCCCCTGCCAGCCAAAGGAGCCACCACTGCTGTGAGCAGCCACACAAGCAATGCCAAGCAGAGTAGCCACAGCCAACTGAGGAGCAGCTGTTGCCATGATTGCCTGAGGAGCAACTCCCACATAATTCGACAGCAAAAATGGGGAGACAAAGAAACCCCCAAAGGAAAGAAAAGGAGGAATTGCCAGAAAAGGAGCTAAGTGAAATGGAGGCATACAATATGTCAGAAAAAGAATTCAGAATAAGGGTCATACAGTTCATAAACCAGATGGATGAAAAAACTAACAACATATATAAGAATCAACAAGAAATAAAGAGTTGTATAGCTGCAATAAAAAAAACACCATGTAAAGTTTCAACAGTGGATTAGGAGAAGTGGAGGACCAAATTAGTGAATTAGAAGGCAGCAAAACAAAACTCACCTAAACTGAACTGCAAGTGGAGAAAAATATTAAAAAACAGAAGGAAAGCCTAAGAAAGCTTTGGAACAACATGAAACAAAGCAACATACAAATAATAGGGATGCTAGAACGACAGGAAGAGGAACAAGGGTTAAAAACTTATTTGAAGAAATTATGTCAGAAAATTTCCCTGATGTGGAGAAGAAAAAAGTCACACAAACTCAGAGAGTCCCAAACAAGATGAATCTGAAAAGACCCACACCAAGATACCTTGTAATTACAATGGCAAACGTTGAGGACAAAGAGAAAATCTTAAAGGCTGCAAGAGAAAGACAAAAAGTTACTTACAAAGGATACCTAATGAGATTAACAAATGATTTCTCAGCAGAAACACATCAGGCCAGAAAGAAATGGAAGGAAGTTTACAAAGTGATGCAAAGCAAGAGACTGAATCCAAGAATACTATATCCAGCAAGGCTATCATTCAAAATTGAAGGGGAAATAAGGAGCTTCACAGACAATAAAAAGCTAAGTGAGTTTATCACCACCAAGTCAGCAAGGCAAGAAATGCTAAAGGGACTGGTGTAAAGAAAAGAAATAAAAAGGGAAGAAGGAACACAGGCACACACACACACACACACACACACACACACACACACACACAGGCTATAAAGAGGTACCTATCAATAATAACTTTAAATGGACTAAATGCTCCAATCAAAAGACATTGAATGGCTGAATGGATAAAAAAAAAAATGACCCATATATGCTATTTACAAGAGACCCACCTCAGAACAAGGGACTTACACAGACTGAAAGTGAAGGGTTAGAAAAATATCTTTTAGACAAATGAAAATGAAAAGAAAAAAAAAGCTGAGGTAGCAATATTTATATCTGACAAATTAGACCTCAAAGTGAAGGCCATAATAAGAGATAAGAAAGACCACTTCATAATACTAAAGGGATCAATAAAACAAGAGGATATAACCCTTGTGCATAAACATATATACACCCAATGCAGCCAAGTACATAACAAAAAACTCCTGGAAGATATAAAGAGAGAGATCAGCAACAATACAGTCATAGTAGGGGACTTTAATACCCCACTGACATTACTGGATAAATTCTCTAAACAAAAAATAAGCAAAGAAACAGCAATCCTAAATGACTCATTAGATCAGATGAACTTAATTAACATCTTCAGAACATTTCACTCCAAAGCCATGGAATATATTTTCTTCTCAAGTGCACATGGGACATTTTCAAAGATAGACCACATATTGGGTCACAGGCAAACTTTCTCCAAATTCAAGAAGATTGAAATCATATCAAGCATCTTCTCAGACCACAATGGCATAATATTAGAAATAAACTATAATAAAAACAATTTAAAAAAAATCTAAACACTTGGAAGCTGAACAGCATGCTATTAAACAATGATTGGGTTACCAAATAGATCAAAGAAGAAATTAATGTAATGATTGTAATTACAGTCAGACATCCCTCTCACAATCTGGGACTACTGGTTCCTAACTGCTCACTGGCCTGATTGACCCTAACTGCCTCTGCCTCAGCGTGGCTTTTTCTGGAAGGATGTCCAGAGGGTGTCCAGTTTAATTAGCATATTACCCTTTTA